AAATAAAGGAAGGAAGGAAGGGAGGCAGGGAGGGAGAAAGGAAAGAAGGGAGGGAGGGAGGAAGGAAAAGGAAAAAGAAATTTCTAAGGTTGTTTTCTTCCTCCCTCCCTCCCTCCTTCCCGGTTTTGTTTTTTGTTTTTTGAGACAGGGTTTCTTTGTGTAGCTTTGGAGCCTTTCCTGGAACTTGATCTGTAGACCAGGCTGGCCTCGAACTCACAGAGATCCGCCTGCCTCTGCCTCCCAAGTGCTAGGATTAAAGGCGTGCGCCACCACCGCCCGTCTTTCTTTTTTTTTCATATTCATAGGTGCTGTGTCTGCATGAGGGTGCCAGGTACACTGGACCGGGAGGTACAGGCAGCTGTGTGAGCTGCCATGTGGGTGCTGGGAATTGATCCTGGTCTCTGGAAGAGCAGCCAGTGCTAGTTAACTGCTGAGTCGTCTCGCCAGCCCCTCTAAGGTTATGTTTAAAGGCACATTCACATTTAAAAGTAGCCTAAATTTATCAGCATAAAGATGAGCCATACTAGCAAAGCAACACAAAACAGGACAGAAGAATACCATTCACAACACTGAAACATGCAACACCAGCTGCTTAACCTAACAGGCTGATGGACTTGTTTTCCTTTGACGGTGTTACAACACAGAACCAAGCCAAGCACTCTCTAACATGAGCTAAGAGAGCTAAAAAGCCCAAGTCTGCCAAGAACTTTCTTACACCCTTGCTTTTTTGTTCAGCATTGTGAAGAAAAAATTTCACTTTCTGTCCTAACGAGGCCTTGAACTAATGCTAGAATTACAGGTGTGGGAAACCATGCTTAATTCACGTGCTTTATGTATGTGTATATGTATGCACGCACCTGTCTATTTTTTTAAATCTGTTTACTTTATGTAGATGAGTTTTCTGTCCGCAACGTTTGTCTGTGTATCATGGGTGTGGCCAGTGCCTGCAGAGGCCAGAGGAGGGTGTGGACCCCCTGCTGCTGGAGTTAGATGTGAGCTGCCATGCAGGTGCTGGGAGTTGAACCCAGGTCCTCTAGAAGAGCAGTCAATGCTCTTAACTACTGAGACCTCTCTCCATTAACTAAATTACTTCTTTTAAAAAATGATGTTCGGGGCTGGAGAGATGACTCAGTAGTTAAGAGTACTCAACTCTTTCAGAGGACTCAGGTTCCCCACACCCACACGGCAGCTCACAACTGCCTGTAACTCTAGTTCCAGGAGACTGGATGCCCATGGGAAAACACCCATACACATAAAACAAAAATAAATTAAAAGAGAAAGAAAGAAAATGTGTTTGAGCCAGATAGTAGTAGCACATGCCTTTAATCCAGCAAAGACAGGATGTTCTCTGAGTTCCAGACCAGCCTGGTCTAACAGAGCGAATTCCACAACAGTGAATTCTAGCACAGGCCTTTCATTCCAGTGCTCCAGAGGCAGAGGGAGGCAAATCTCTGTAGATTCGGAACCTGGTCTACAGAGTGAGTTCCAGGGCAGCCAGGGTTACACAGTGAAACCCTGTCATGAAAAACCAAAACAAAAAACAAAACAAAACAAAACAAAAACAAACAAAAAAAAAAAACAATGAAAGAAAAGGATGTTTGCCAT